ATATTTTCAAATACTCACATAAAATGATTATTTATAATAATAATTTTTTCTTAAAATTTATAAAATATATTAATAATATATAAAAAAAATTAGGTGCAATATATAAAAACAAAATTCACAATTATAAATAACATTTTTTTCAACCAAATATTTTTTTTTATTATATATTACATGTTCTTATTATAACATTTTTTCTTATTATAATTTTGAATTTTGTTTTTATATATTACAATTAAAAATATTTTTTATATTTTATTAATGTATTTTATATATTTTAAGAAAACAATTTATTATTATCAATAATTACTTTATGTGAGTATTTGCTTATTATATGTTACATGTTTTTATAGGTGCAATATATAAAAACAAAATTCACAATTATAAATAACATTTTTTTCAACCAAAATTTTTTTAATTATATGTTACATGTTTTTATTATAACAATTTTTTCTTATTATAATTTTGAATTTTGTTTTTATATATTGTACCTAAAAATCTTTTTTTATATATTATTAATATATTTTATATATTTTAAGAAAAATTATTATTATAAATAATTATTTTATGTGAGTATTTGTTTATTATATGTTAAATGTTCTTATTATAACATTTGTTCTCATTATAATTCACAATTATGAATAACAATTTTTTCAACCAAATATTTTTTTCTTATTATATGTTACATGTTTTTATTATAACATTTTTTTCTTATTATAATTTTAAATTTTTTTTATATATTGCACCTAAAAATCTTTTTCTACATATTATTAATATATTTTATATATTTCAAGAAAAAAATTATCATTATAAATAACTATTTTATGTGATTATTTGTTTATTATATGTTAGATGTTCTTATTAAAACATTTTTTCTTATTATAATTTCGAATTTTGTTTTTATATGTTATACCTAAAAATTTTTTTTATATTATTAATATATTTTATATATTTTAGGAAAAATTATTATTATAAATAATAATTTTATATGAGTATTTTAGAACATTGATTTTTCAATAGTAAATAGTATTTCAATCTGTTAAAAGGCTGACAGAAGGACTTTAGTGTCCTATTAATTGAAACATTTTGGAGCAAGATGTCCATTTTTAAACTAATGGATTTAAGTTAAATTATGCTTAAAATGAAAAGATTTGGATGCATTTTACTCTATAATTAAATATTATATTCACATAATTAACTGAATAATCACCTATTATATCATAATTAAGTTACAATCACTAAATAATTAATTAACAAACTAAGACATAATTAGACAATCAAACTCACACAAAGTAAAATTTAAAACTAAAACTTCAAAACGTACTTATTTTAGATAGATAAATACATGATAATCATATAAATTTACTTGTGAAGTTAAAAAAAAAAAAATTCATTATCAATATATCAAATAGTTTTTTTAATTTAAAAAATTATCTCATACAACATGAGTGAGTTTTTTTTTATTATTATTAAAAAATCCCTAACCTTTCTTCAAAACTCTAACTTCAAATTTCAAATTAAAAACTTCATTTTAAGTTTTTAACCGTTACATGTTTCAAGAAAAAAAACATATCAATTATTGAAACGTCCTAATAGAGTTTAAAATCTAGCCATTATATAATTAGGAAAATATTAATCAATATCAATAGGCAAAGATTAAAGTGATATTTAAAAAAAGTAATTAATATATATTTTAATTTAATAAAAATAATACTTTAAATACAAAAAATTATAAAATAATAATTAAATAATTCTTAATCAAATCTTATAGTCACACGATAACCGAATCCGTATAATAATAAATCACACTATAACAAAGCAGTGTGATGGCCCATGCATTGCATTAATGGAATTGGAAATTTCGAGTCTCAAATGAAACAGATGCATGTTCCATAATTGCATGAACGTGAAAGACATTGATTACAACACGTGTCCAACACATTGGCGGAGGCGGCTGACAAGCCGCGCTCGCGGCCGTGCCTGGTGGTGTCTTTTGGCGTTTGCTTCAATCTTAAAACTCATCAATTCCCTTTAATGTGGTCAACTTTTTACTTTTCTTAATTTAATTTTCATTTCGATTGGGGACTTCAACTAAGCTGGCTTCATTAATGAGAATGACCTCTACTAGCTATAGAAGCGGCTCTTTAAGAAATTGAAAAAAATATAATTCAATTAATTCATATAATTATTTTTAAAAAATATTAATAAATTTGACATTTTAATTTTATTATTTGTAACCGCTTCATTTATTTTAAGATTTTGAGATTTTTTGCCCAATTGGCAATGAGGCAAAGGGTGAAACACAAAGCCTTTGGTAGGCTTTAACATGGTGTGGCGAGTTGACCCTATTGGCATTGGTTTGTCATCAAATTAGATTTTTGTCAACTTGAGCACTGAGCCTGTTTGATTTAGGTTCAAACTTTACCTGGACCAACGAGTTTTGGTCCAAATTTGCTAACACAATCATCAATAATTTGGCAGTTGGACTCAATTTTGGGCTATGTGCAGGATCCATTTAAACAACTTTGGTACTCATATTTGACCTTATACACAATTATTTACAAGCATTCCTTAATTAATATTTCTAAAAATTAGCTTTTATACATTGATCATGTAACTTTTTTCTTTTAGTAGCAAGAGTAAAAAACTATCATATATTCCATTTTTTTAATTTTAATTTTAATTTTTACTATACCTTAAAAGATGTTTGATTCTGCTGTTTAAAAATTCAATTATTAATAAAAATTTACAGCTTAGCCATTTGGAACAGAAAATCACAAATCTTGGGAAGTAAGCCCAGTTATGAAATTTGACTAGCTGGACAAGATTGGGCTTAGACTTGCACTTCTAACAAGAATGGGGTATCCTTTTTTCACAGAAAGTAAGAGAATTGAGTTTAGCAGTACCGTCGTCTGATGTTATTATTGTAAATCATTTGATTTGTAATTTTAGTGATAAAGATTTAATTTTTATTAATTTTAAATACTAAAAAAAATTTACAATTTAACTCAATTATTTTATGCATTCACTCTTAATAAGTAACATATAATATATTTGAAGTTCAAATTTACAGTTTTTTTCTTTATCCTTAAGAAATATTTTGTAAAAAAAAAAAAACTTAATAAAAATCCCCTATTAAATTATTTATTTATTTTTATTTTTATTTGAAAATGGAGTAATTTGAACTATACCTTTTTAAGAGATAGTAGTTTAGGAATAAAAAAAAAGGTTATAAGCATTAAAAATTAAAATTTAAAATTGTTAAATATTATTTTTAAAAGAATGATTATATAAATTAATTGAATTAAATTTCAATTTCATAATATATATATTTTTTTAATACATAAGATGGGTATAACCCATGAAGGAAGAAAAAAAAAGTTTTAGTTTGATTTCACACTATAAGAATTTAAGTAAAAGATTTAATAGCAAAAAAAAAAAATTAGGCGCCAATCACGCTTGAGTCAAATGCTTAGGTGTTATTTATATTTGTTGATCAATGGCATCAGGCTTAGTGTTAAGACTATACAAGGAGGGGAATCCAAAATTTCGATTATAATATTATTCTATGTAGGATTGATCAATGTTTGGTGGTAATATATATTTCTTTACTCAGAGTCGGTTTGATTTTTTACTCTTTCCAAAATCAAACGAGAAAAAAAATTGCTAATTGAATGACTTCCTGCTCATTGGACATTAAAAAAAATGGATTCTAAGCCTTAGTCTTATGAAACCAAAAATTCTTTTGTTACGAGGAATCAAACTTGTGGACAAACCTTGGATGGAATATTTATGCTTACCGACTAACTGATTATTCTCCTGATTTTCTCAATAGAATTTTCAAATTTGTTCATCTCATTGTCCACATTCAACAAAATCCCAAATTTTGCAATTAATTTTGCTAATCCTGAAAGTTAAAAAAATCTGAAAAAAAAAATACTATATTAATATCGAGATCGTTTTATGTGAATTTAATGTCAAAACGACATTCAAGTGCAGTGAGAAGACGGTGGAAATCCCTTCTCACTGCACTACCAGACGATGCTTAAAGCTCTAAAAAAGGGTTAGCCTGGATTATTTTGATAGAACAAATATTCAGGTTGTTCAGGCAATTTTCTGGTTGGTGATGGAATTGACAACATATTGACACAATTCTCTCTTGGAGGTATGGTGTCCTATCGATGTCCCTATTGAAAAATGGTTACAATCAAGCATTACTTAAAACATGCCTCCAAGAAGTATCAAACCATATGATTAGCAAGTCCAAATCAACTTTAGAATAACGAAAGTAACTGCTCTTGATTGATTTTCATTTCAATTTCTTTAATGCTTTTTTTTAATACTAATCATTATCTGTGATGAAATTGAAAACCCCTTTTTATTTCCCCTCTAGTTTGGTAGGGTTGAGTCAAATTAGGAGGATTGGGACACATTGCCAAATGCTTCATAACAACCCTATATGCATGATTACATTTGATTTTGATTATCCAACCAAATTGGCTAAAAAGTAACTTTTTTAGGGATTTGGTTTTGAAACAACAGTCCAATTCTCAAGTTCAATTCTTTCCAACATTTCATAACTTAAATTATAAGGGATTTTTGCTCATCAATTTGGTTCATCAACCATGATATCTATGGCAAGCCTACTTTTGCTTGAAATTCAAGAATGTATGAGTGTTGACATAAAACCATTCATTTTCTTTTAATGACTTTGTCCTTTTTGGTTTCTCATTTCTGGGGTCTATTACTCAAAAGAAAATTTTGATGAAATCTCCTCACAAACTTTAAACAATTTTTCCATGTCCAGTTGAATATTTTCCCCAAAATGGGCAATTTCTATAAGTTCAATTGCCATTCGTTATAGTAATCACGGTTTAATATCTGATATGAACTTTTAATTCAATTTTGACAATCTCAATTACCAAGCAAAGATTGCAGCGACATTGAATGGTGGAAAATGCAGCATGGAAGGAAAGATTGGGGAAGTATGCATAGGAGAAGCGTTTTGAACTGAAAATAACAGGTTCTTGAATTCCATAACTCATCTCAGAATTTTGATTTATACTAACAAATTGAACTGCAAAAAGAATTCCTACGGGGAGGAAGAAAAAAGAAAGAAAACAACACCGACTCCAATAACTAATGACCTCATATTACTAAAACCTACTACTCTGCTAACCCTTAAGCTTCCATTTTCTCTACCTTTTTTCTCAGTTCTCTCAATGCAATCCCTCTCTACTATCTAAAATATTGGTTATCTATTGCTACTATTCCCCCCATTCCAACCCTGTACAGAAAAACAATGAACAATGAGATAAAATAAGAGTAAGAGAATAACACAAGGGAAAAAAGAGAGAGAGGGAGAGGGAAACAGAGAGGAGAAAGATTATCCAACAATGGGATCTCACAATTCTCCACACCCTCCCTCATATATAATCTAATGCTGGGTTGCTTTCATTTGGAATCAGCTCTGGTGAATTGGTGACCATTGTTGCAGTGAGTGCTGCGGTACCACTTTTGGTTCTCATCTCAAGCACTTTCTTATGAGAATTGGAGTGCAACGATGGAACAAATGTTGGACTTGCGGCAGGCCGGTATTCGGGGAAGAGCCTGCCGGACTTGTAGCGAACGCCACAAGCGTTGCAAAGGGTTTTTGGCCCCATTGGCCCTGCCCTCCATTGTGGTGTCTTGGTTATCTCACAGTGAATACATTTCCTAACTGCTGGTCCTGATGGATTTTGAGTATTATCAGCTGGAGCAGCTGGAAGTGACAACTTGATCTTCTTTTTCTTCTTATGTTCCGGATTAACTTGCCTAGGTATTTTGATCAACAGCCGCGACTCAGCATAGTTCTCAGAGTCCGAAGGCACCTTGGAGAAAACGAATGGCTGAGGAATGTCATTTTCATTGACAGATGAAGTTGGGGAAATAAGCTGAATCCCGGGACGAGGGTTGAAGGTGGCAGGGCGGGGACGTTTGCTACGTGCACGTCCTCGCCTTCCAGGGGCAGCCATTTCAGGGCTGCGCGGCAATGTTTTCTCCCCCGAGCAAGAGCTGCTGCTTTCAAGAACAGAAATTGGACTGGAACTCTGGAATTGATGACGGGATGACTCCTTATTGATTGAAAAGGACTCTTCTTTCTTGATTGTCAAGCTCGCTCCACAATGAGAATCTTCAACAAAGTTTGACAACCATTCCAATTGAACAATCTCTTCATACTGTTAAAACAAAATCGCCCAAAACTTTAATCAGCTAATTGTAATCATAGTCACTCTAAATTTCAAGGAAACATTAAGCAAATATTCAAGTGCATAAAAGCAATTACCCCAAATGACTATTATGTCAAATCAATATTTTTTTAATATTTAAATTTGTCAAAAATTGAATTTCATCATTGAAAATTCATCATTTTATCAAAAAATTAGGCGCGAATGAAGGATTTGAAATCATTAAAATTTACTGTATTGTTGAATTTTATTTTATTAAATTAAATAATATTTTGATAATACAAAGTGGTACGCTTTTTTTTGACACCTAAGCCTGTATAACTAAAAGCATGGCAAATCACGTGACTTCCATAACTAAAGCAATAATTATGCCACTAAACGATGCAAAACTCTTGGGTGGATTCCAATTTCCACATTTCCATCCATGTAGCCGACAAATCAACATTAAAAAAAAAAAAGAATTACTATTTAAATTTTTATTAAAAATCCTAAGACCCCACAAAATTAGCTAGATTCCAAAAAATCCAAAAAAAAAAATCCCTACTTTATTTATGACGTCATCGTTAAAAACATGACACTAACCGGAACAGAAATTTCCGCGGACAGGTCGGAAGCATTGTTGTTGGAAAAAACAGAGTCAGAACCAGGTAATGACTCGGAATTCGTCGTCCAAATGCTAGGAAAAGCGGCGGCATTGACGTCGGAGGCGGATAAGCCAACCTCAGCATCCTCGTTAGGGAAGTCGAGGAGGTCGTCTATGTGGTCGAAGAAGCTGCCGCAATCTATCTCATCGATGAAATTCGTTGGTCCAATCATGTTTTCTTTATATTAATTATTCCAAAAAAACCTGCAAAAAAATTTAAAATTATTGTTATTATTAATTATTTTTGCAAGTGAATGTCTATCTTTTAAATTGGAAGTATATGAAAATTTTGAGGAAAATGTGTTTTTAAATTCTAGGTTAAAAAAAAAAAAAAGGAGTTTTTTAATTTTTTTTAAATGGAAGGTGAATTAAAATTTCAAAAAGTGGAAGCAGCACATGGAGTAAGTTGCTGCAAGGTGGTCCAACGGCAACTAAAATTTAATTTATTTGCAAAAAAAAAAGGAATTATTGATTTTTAAAATTCTCTTTTCAAAATTTGAGGAATAAAAAATGGAAAAAAAAAATGAGGATAGAGGGATTCTGAAGCAAACCTTTTGATACTCAGTAATTAAAATTTTCTGGAAAGAAGAGAAGTTTTCCAGGAAAATGAAGAGAATTTCCTTGAGAAACCTGCAAGATAAGTTAACAAAATTGAAACTGTTAGTACATAAATTACTTTGGTAGCTGAAATGTATAGTGCAATTTATTGAATGAAAAAAACAGCAGAAAGCTTCTTATTCAGTGTTTCAGAAAAACCAAAACTATCAATAATCATTTTCATTTTACTTTCTCCACATTACTCTGTTTGTTCCTCAGGAAAAATGAAGGAAACAAGGAATTGAATTTTGAGAACTATGGTCTCCTTTTGTTTAATTGATAAGACAAAATGAGAACTCAATTCAGTAAAAAGAAAAAGAGTGGAAAAAATTGGGAAATTGGTTTTTAGTTCATACTGGGATTGGTAATGACTGAAATAATGAAAACTTCAGTTCTCAAATTCAGTTCAATTTATCCTCATTTCCTCCACTTTCACAGCTACCAAACAGAGTATTCTTGATGAAAAGACTAAGAAAACTGCTTCTTGAACCCATAATTCTATATAATACTCCCTGCCGACACTGAAATTTTCAATGTAACACCAATCCAACTGTTCAAAAAAGAAAAACAACTCACTGAAGCTGCTAAACTTGAGCTGAAAAAACTCCAATTCCCGCCCAAAGAAAAACAAAATTCATTGAGAAACCAAGAAAACTATCTACCCATCCAAAAACCCAATTGAAAATTTCAGCTACCTAGCAATCAAACAAGTTAAAAACCCAGTTCATTCCTTGTTTAAATTAGTGAAAAAAGAGTATGTAAATAGGCAATGGGGTCTGAAACAATACCTTGAATAAGAAGAGAAGAAATAGAGAGAGAGAGAGAGGTGAAAAGAAAAGAAGGGAAATGGGAAAGATTTGAGAGGAGAGAGAGGAAGCGAACAAAGGCTAAAAAAGTAAGGAGAGATTGAAGGGTTTTATGGTAGGTGAGCATCCACCTTCATTGCTAGCTGTATTTTACTCTCCTTGATGTTGAAGTCTTCTCTCTCTTTCTCTCTCTCCCTCATTACCCCCTTTGTCCCACTTCCTCCATTCTTTTCCATAATTTTTCCTTTTCCCTTTTTTTCTACTCAAGGATTTTGAAACTCCTCGAATTCAAGAAAAAAAAATATTGGGTTTTTGACAATAAAAATTGTTTTTTTTTTTTGTTGGATTTGTGTGAAGAGATTGGAGACTAATGGTAAATTGTAAGAAAATTAATTGATATATCAACAAAATTAGAAGACTATTAGATATTCCACTAAAGTATGTTTGAAAAATCAATTAATATAATAAAAAACATTTTCTTCCTCTCATAAATTATTTTGTTTGTATGCCTTGATAGGACTAAAAAAAATCTTGTTTTTCCTTATTACTCCTTAACTATAACCATCCATTGTTTTCATTTTTCAAAGAAAGGGTAATATGAGGAAAAAAACATTATAGCCAATTAAAATTAAGATTTAACTCAAAATTTTTAAATTATGTCAAAAGTTAAAATAATAATAATAATATATGAATCAGTTAACAAATTTACTAATCATATATGAAATAAGGAAAGTGTTAACCAATGTCTAATAACTTTAATTAAGATGAAATTTAAGAAAAAATTAATTGATGCACTATTTTTTTAATAATTAGTAGATTTGTTCTAAAAAAATTGGAAATATTAAACTAGTAGCTTTGATTAAGATAATATTTTTAAAAAATTATAACTAATACATTTTTCGAAATTTGATAAACTACTACTTTAAATATAAATTTTTAAAAAATAATAATTAAATAAATTGTACATTTTATTGGTAGAAACACCGGGAAGACAACAAAAAATTACTTACTTTTTTTAAACGCCTTAAATGGAAAGAAGTCAAAAGTAAGAAACAGGTCACGCTTCGAGATAGGGCGTGAATGACATGGCATTGTTTGATTGGGAATGTTGACGTGACAATACCAAAAGGCGCGTAGGAATTTGTCTTTACTTGGTTTCACAGTCCCTCGTGGATTAGATATGCCAGCCATTTGCCGTAAAAATACAACTTTTTTTGTGTTGTCGAATAACGCGGTTGTTCTCTGCATGAAGTTTTCGTATATGGCCAAAAAATTTTAAATAAATTAATTTCTAATTTTTTATTTTTTAATTTGGAAGAATAATTAATTTCTAAATTTAATTCTTTTTGTAACATGTATAGCAATAAATGTTAAATTGATTCAGTTAATTTCAAATTAAATTAATTTTTTTTTTCATCGAATCGAATACGTTAATTTTAAAATTTAATTATTTGAATTAAATTTAATTGGTATGATTAATTTTTTGATTAATTAAATAATAAATATATTTATATTATATTATATTTTTAATTTTTTATATTTGAAACAAATTAAATAAAATTATCTAATAAAATAATCAAATGTTAAAATATTAAATTAAAAACTTTAATAATTTTCTAAAAAAGAATGATTTATTTAATGTATTTTAGTTTTATATTTAAATTTTATTATATTTTCATTAAAATTTTGATTAATTTGATTAATTCAATTTTTGAATCGAATTAACTAAAAATAAAAAATTCTCTAAAATTATATTCATTAACTGATTAAAATTAATTAAATATCTAATTAATTAATCAAATTAAATTAATTAAATTGATTAATTCGATTAAAACAAATTTTTAACATCCATATATAACAATACATTAAAGTTATCCTCAAATGTGAAATTCTTCAATTTAAAAAACATATGAGGTAGGACATAAAAAATAATTAAAAGATTATTTAAGGCATGAAAAAAATTAATTGGAGGTGATTTGGAGAAAAAACGTTTGGTATTTTTTTTTTAATTTTGGTTTTTTAATTTTAATTTTATTTTGTTTTTTCCTTTTAGTTTTATTTTAGTTTTGTTATTTTTAATAAAAATTACTTTCAATTTGTCAAATTGCTATTACTTAATAAAAAAGTTTCATAAATTATTGAATTTGGCAGGTTATAATGCGTAGGGTTTTAATTGGGTTATGACATGGTTAGTTGGACTTTAATCATATTTGAAAAAATGTGGTGTTTAGTTGATGTGTTTTTAATAGGTTTTGAATTTTGATCATTTATTATTTATAAAAAATAAAAAATAAATTATAATAATGATACATATAAATACAAAAAGATATAAAAATAAAAAATAAATGTTAAGTACTTTCTTTTTTTTTCTTTCTTTTGTTTTAAATATTTTTATAAAAAGTTTATAATCTAAAAATTTTTTTAAAGAGCATTTTGATCAAATAATTAATTAATAAAAAATACAACACTCCTAACATAATATAACATAAAAAAACAAAAATATAACAACAATATATGAAATAGTATATATATATATTTAATTTTAATATTTATATTTGTATAATATTTATATATATTTCATTTTTATTATTTTTATATTAAAATAATTAATCTACGCCAAGCTTGACTAACTCTAGTGTGAATATAAACTTCACCATTTAGAAAAGGATTTATATTTAATGTAATTGATTAAATAATAGTTTGTTGTTTTTAATTTATTGAACTTAAAATATTTTAGAAAAATATTTTTTTTTATTGAACGGTAAGAAATTTTTAGATTTTGTATAATTTATCCCTTCTCCGAATCAATTCAAATAAGATTATTTACATCAAATTTAATAAATTTATAATTTATAATTATTATTTTTGTTAATGCGTTAAAATAAAAACAATTATTTTAATTATTTTTAAAATAAAATCTATAATTTTATCACTGTGAAAAAATTGGTCAGTGATCACTAATTATCTAATGAGAGCTCTCTAATTTAATAAATACATCATGACACCTTGTAAAATCTTGACTTTGTAATTAGATAAATGAATAAAGTTTTGGTTTTTGAACAAATTTTCTGGTTCCCTTCCACTAATTCTGTATTATTATCTCTCTATTTAGCAATAGAAAAAGTATACTAATACTGTGGATGGGAGCCACGGGTTGTTCAAAATTGGAAAGGGCATTTGCCACCAAATAAAGTATACTAAGTTTAGGATTAAAAATTTAAGAAAAAATGTTTTATTTTTTATAAAAAAAAAAAAAGATTGTAGCATACGGATAAGAAAAGAAATTGTAAATATTAAATTTATTAAATTTTTATTTTTAAAAATAATTATATAAATTAATTAAGTTAAAACAACGAATTTAAAATGTTAATTTTGTTTAAAGTGGCTGCATAAGAAAAAAATGTTTGGGGTTTTAGCCTCCAGAGAAATGATGAACCTCACTCACTCAAGGTCAAGACCCCATACTCATTTCTCCTTTCATTTTCATTTTAACTAACTTGAATTGTACTCTTTGCATCAATTCCTTACAAAATACTCTCTCCCTCTTTCTCTTCTGAAAAATCTGCTAATATATTTTTAAAAAAGGACTTTTTTTTCTTTTTCTTTTTTTTTTTTTAACTAACTTGGATTTTACTCTTTGAATCACTTTCTTCTAAAAGGCTTCTTCTCTTCATTCAAAAAGCAAAATTAGGGTGAAATCCATTTAATTTTAGATTTTAAGTTGAAGAGGTTAGGCTCTATGCACTATGAAAATTAGATTTTCTTCCATAATCAAACAATGGAATCATCTTCAAAACTATGGGAAATTGGGAATGGAAAAAAAAAATCTTTATAATTCTATATTGAAAAAATTAGATCCTAGGTCTGAAATTAGAAATTATTGATGATTGGAAAGATGAGTACCACAAAATTAGAGAAAGGGTTATTTCTAGGTTAAAATAATAAAAATTCCGAATTTTATCAAATTTTTTAGATAAATTATTAAACTTTCATTGCATTCAAGTAAATTATTAATATTTAATTTGCACTTAAATTAATTTTTTAAAAATATATTTTTTTAATTTTCAAGCACTTAATCGGGCCACATCAGTTTTTATTTGAAGAAAAAATTTAATTGGCGTTTATTGTAAGAAAAGTCAACCTTTTATTTGGATTACAATCTTATTTTATTTGGATATAAATTAAAATTTTATTTAATTATAATAAAACTATAAAAGCTCACCTAAAAAGTGAAAAATTTTAAAGGCTCATTTAATATTTTAACCTTATTTCTAGTTTGTTACTTAATCCATGTTTAAAGGGAAAAAAAAAAGAACTAGTAAGTTTTTTTTTGGTACTATTTTTGTTGAATTAGTATTTAATATATTAATAATATAATTTTTAATTTTATAAGTAATATTAAAAAAATTTTACATGTCATATTTTTTAATATTTCTTAAAAAATATGTATCATCCTACTTGTAAAAGTTAAAAACTTCACCTATAATGGGCTAGATAATTTCTCTTTTCTCATTAGTGATATGATAGACCATAAATACTTTTTGGAAATGATCTAAACATGCATCACTAGAAAATTAGGCTAATTTCTAAAATTTTTTTGGGAAATGTATATCCTTATCAATTTTTTATTTAGAGGGGTGCTTTTCTTTTTTACAACTTGTACATGGATGACAATTAATTATTAATGTGTCATGTGACATACATTTTAATACAATTAAATGTTAACATAGCATTCTCATAAAAATATGATAAGCATACCATTTCTTCCCTTTAAAGACAAGAGGAGGGAAGGTGTTATGTATATCATTTTTTAACAAATACTTAGCAAAATGTGTTGGACCATGCATTTATACCAATATCTATCTTAATTCTTTTACACATTATGTAAATAAAATAATTCATTTACTATAAGTACAAAATGCATAGAAAATTGGCAAAATAAAATAAATGGTACATTTTTAAACAAAACTCAATTTTCTCTGTACTCTCACTCTATCAAAAAACAATTAGAATTTTCTTTAATTATTTTTTTTTTAAATTACGAGTTTAAGTTCAATCATAAGCAATTACATTCATATATAATGATCATTGAATAAACAAATAAATTAATTAACTAACAAACTAAAATATAATTAAACAAATTCAACATAAAATTAAATCAAATTCATATATAATAAGATTTAAGTCTAAAATCTAAAGATTCTAAAATCTAATCTTATCACTAATCCAA